GAGGTCTGTTTTGCAAGGCCTTGGATGTTACATGTTACCATGGGATAGGCTTGTCCCTGCTCCTTTAGGCCTCTGCCCAGGGAAAGGTTCCCTCAGGTGCTGTGGGGACTGTCGGAGCTGCTGGTTGTCCTTGTTCTCCTACACACCCTCTGCTGAGGCTGGTCCTCTCAGCCACTTCATAGGCTGCGCTGCTGGAGCACTTGCTGCTCTAGCTTCCTTCCTTGATCCTTGTGTTACTACTGCTCTCTGTAAAAGGAAGAAAAAAACAAAACTCCAGGCAGGGAGAAAGCTCAGCACAGGTGGGCCTTTGGAAATGTGGCTCTGAGTGGTGCCTGCTCTCCTTTTGTTCTGGCTGTTAATTTTCCTCAGGTTTTTAATGTTATATTGCAAGAGGCTATTCAGGCTGGAAGGTGCTCAGTACTTAACAGATTTTAGGGTACTGTGTTTCAGTAGTGTTAATTATACAAAACGAAAGGAATTGTGCTGTGATGAGATAATTCTTAAAAGTGTTTACATGTATGTTTGTGGTTTCATGCTAGTAGTTAATGCTTTGTACCCTGGATAGTTTACAAACTAAAATGACTGATGCAGCTGAATGCAAACTAAGATGAAAGATGTAGTGTTAGTAACCCCTTTGAGGCAAGATTTAGGGCAATCAGCTGCTTGCATAAGTAAGGCTTGACCCTCAGGGAGTGATCTCTATATATTACAAAGTTTTAAGTAGGCCAGATGACACCTTTAAAAACCTCTGTAAAGGGTAAAGTAAAATAGTGAGTAAAGATGGGTTGATGTCACATTCCCTTTGCTGTTTTTGCCCTTTGTTCTGTGCTCACTCTGCCGAATGTGTTTATTTTGGAGCACTATGACACAGTGCATAACACTGTGACAAATGAAGTGGTGATGTGAAAATAATAATTACATATAAAATATTGTTGTATTAATACTGCCAGAGAGAAGATTCAATACTATGTTGATGTTGTTTTTCAGGCATTTGTGATTTGGCTCACAATAGCTAGATACTTTGCCAGGGAAATGCAAATCAATCCTGCCAAGTTCAAGGTGAATGGCAACCTAATTTGTGGGGGAAAGGAAGACTGGAGTATTACTTTAAAACTGGGTTAATTTTTTAGGACTGTAGCTGAGCATGAGCCTTCCAGTGTAAAATGGTAACTTCTTCTCCCTTCATCTCCTTCTGGAAAAGGAACTGCCTCATCACTGTTGCCTTGTTTGTGGGAGTCTGAGCTGGTCTAAGGCTAGCAAAGGTTACGTTAAGAGTTCCTGGAGAAACCTGGAATCTTGAAATCAAATGCTGGTGTGCAAATGCAAAGAGGAATGGGGAATCTCCTATACAGAAGCCTGCTTAGGAAACTAGATAAATAAAGGGTGACCGTGAAGTTCAAGAACATATTAGAAGTTCTCATCTAAAAGACTGAAGCAAAGCACAGCAATAAATGTGCAGTTCTTAGAAATTGTTAAGGACTGATGAAGGTTCTCAGCATGCCTTCATATCTGCAGAAATGGGTGAGCTTGACTGGGAAGAACGAAGAGTGGGTTAGGGAGATTGCACAGAAAAATCTAGCGAAAATGAGTAAATGAAGAACCTGGTGATGAGTGAAAGTAAGTGGTGGCAAACAAAAGGTAATTTGCACCAGAAGAAAGCAAAACAAATACTAATGCATAACTGTAAGCTTTGAGTTAAGAGCAAGTCAGTAAAAAAGGCCTTGCCGGTAAGAACCTGGGCCTGGCCACAGTGAGAGGTTATATGTGATAAAATGCTCTGATCCAGGGAAGGAATTTCCTGCCTTTTCTTACTAACTGATACAGGTGGCTAGGACAACTCTTCTTTTGGGGGGAAAAAAGTTCTAGTTGCTAGGATGTCTAGGAATAAAACATTCCTAGATTTCACTGAAAACTAGTATTAAAACTGACTGGACTCTAGCCAAAAAATAAAAATGAAAAATAACTTAAGATCTCCAAAAGAAAAATAAATTCTGATGTAAAACAATCTTGCTGTTTACATCTCTTGTCACCGCAGCCTTATGTAGCAGATGCAAATCTGGAGTAAAATTGGCTGAATGAAGTTGAATATGGCTAGAATTTCTACTGCATAATGTAATGGGACTAAAATAAATAGAAATTAGGACTATAGTACCTTAATTGTTACCTTTTTAAGTTCTAAGTAGAGACAGCCAAGAACTTAGAAAATATAATTTTTATCTTGTAATGCAGTTATGTCACTGCTGGTAGTATTGAACCTCTAGATGCAGCACAAAGATGAGCTAATTTGTTTTTAATTCCTTTTTGTGTTGTGCAAATGTGTCAGAGTTGCTTTTCTTTTACGTCTAACTTCTAAAAGAAGTTAAAAATGCAAGATGGCATTTGTTAGTGTGTAGGTAAGAGTCTGTAGAAAACTATGACTTGCATTTAACACTTTGCATTATATTATCTGTATTTCTGACTAGTATTTTTGCAAATATGGATATTTGAATTTTTTTTAGTATGTTTCAGATAACACTGTTTTGTCAGTTTCTGGTTTTAGTAAAGCTCCTCTGCAGTATGATTACAACCATTCAAACTAGGATAAATATGTATCTCCATGTAATTGGAAGCTGGTTTAGCTACAGATAAATAAACAGGTAAACTCGGTACCTGTTTGGGTTCTTTAGTGTTATTAACAATAATGATGTGGCTTGCATAGTGCTTGACCTAATATCTGCAGAACAGTTTCTGTGCTCCTGCTTATGTGTCCGGACTCTAGCTGCAGTTCTTTTCATAGCGTGCTTCTTTTAAAGTGCTATTTGTGATGCCTTATCTGTCTCTAAGTTTTGAGGTTTTTTTAATATAGCATGTATCTTTGATCCCCCAAGCATATCCTTCTTTGTCTTGCCTTGTGCTGGTCTTCATATAAACATCCCTTACTCGCAAAAGTAGCTGGATGCAATTGTATGTTAACCCAGGGTGAGGGCTGCCACCTAATGAAATAATCTGCCCTGACCCTTAACAGGCCGTAAGCAGCTTTTTCCAGCAAAGCAGGTAAACTGTTGGGACAGTGCAGTAGATCTTGAACAGACACAATTTTTAAGCATGTGTGTGTTCTTATGAGCTCCAGTAGTGTTTTATAAAAATAAATAAACTCTTATTCTTCTTTAATGCTCTAGAAGGAAAAAAGGAAAGCCACCTTTTATGAACTGGCTTTGAGGGGAAGTGCTTTCTGCTACAGTGGGCGGGGGAAGCTGTATTTTATCAGCAAAAGAGGAAGTCTTTTTAGATAGAAATGAAAACTGTCCTTCCTCAGCATGTTTGAATTGCCCTATTACTGCAGGTCCTGAACTGTAATGTCTGTAAAACCGATGCACTGTATTTATTCATCTCATTTCATTTGTAATAACAGGTAGAATAATAAGCAAATCTAAAGATATAATACTGACTAGAACTGACAAATGGTTGGAAAGATAAAGTGCCTCTCACTGTATGTCTCTTACACCTACATCTGTCTTTTCAGTTGAAAGAAATCAAAAGGAGTCTGCCCTTATTTTCTTGCATATTTGTGAGAGCGTGTATAAATTCCCAAGATTTGGGAGAGGGAGATGATACTTTTCAGATCCAGTAAGGCACAGCTGAAAAAATTGGTCAAATAAAAGGGTTAGGAATGCAGGGGAACACCGCTCTCTTTACCTAAAAATGAAGAACAGGACTCTTTAAGACCAGAAGAAAGGCATGGGCCACAGAAGCCTTGTGAAGCTGTAGGTTAGAGTGCTTTTTGGTTACCTGTTACTCTGCGTCACTGCAGGACATTGGATTTCAAATTGCTAGAGCAGATGCATAGTTGCCTTTATCATATGTGCATTTACTGAAACAGTGGTTGTAAATGCTTCTGATCTGTGGATCTTGCTGCCCAAGGTGGTGTGAATTAAATGTCCTGATAGTATGATTATTTCTTCAGGTACTCTTTTCAGCTCTTGGTGGTAATTAGCAGCCCCCAGGGACTTGAAGCCACAGGTTGAAAATCACTGCATGAAACTTTTTTTTTTCTTAACTGGGTTATAAAGAGTGGTCTTCTGGTTTCCTAGACTTATTGCCAGTTCTGGCTAGGATAAGCTGGGGATAAGAATGCTTTCTGTATCTTTGACCCTGTGCCTGTATCAGATTGCTCTTTGCAGAACAAATACATGGAACAACTTGCAAGAAAGATCGAGACTAAAAGGTTACATTTTTCTTGAGACTCTGCTGTTGGCATAATAATTTCATGTAGTGATCTTATTTGCCTAGCAGCTGATAAGATTTCTTGATGGCATCCAACTGTAGCTGGGGCTGGAATAATTGGCTGCTTTTTTCTGAAGACATTTGTTCTGGGCAACTCTGATAAGAGCTGTGGGATGACTGCTCAAATACCTTGCAACAACTGGAGGCAAGTGCTGCAAGCACGATTAGTGTTTGATTTTTTTTTTTTTTTTTTTAGTGATGTGCTTGTCTGCCACTGTTGTAAAGGGTTATTGCTTTTGTTTAACTCAGCTAGGGATGTATATGTATCGGTCTCACTTGTGAAGTTCTTACCTTCCTGCAGTAAGTGATTAGGCAGCAGAGATTGACCTGCACAGGATATTAATGAGCTATTAATGATTGTTTCCACAAGATTGGAGTTATATACACTTGAGTTATTTTAAGGTGGTACCTGAGTTATCACTGGTCGTGTGTTGGCTCACTGGTTCAGGTTCTGGCCAGTACAAATTCTGAAGGTGATGACTCAGGCAGCAAACAGACTCATAATTTGATAGTGAAACAACAGAGTCTGAACTAAAACAATGCCAAAAGGTCTTAATTTGTTCTTTCTTTTTCTTGTGGCAGGGAGAAAATGGGGGAATTGCTTAATTATTGATCCCTTAACAATTTAAGTTGCAGACAAAGTTTGAATACCAGTAAGTAACCAGATTCTTTCAAAACTAATCAAAAGAGATGTTGTCGTGTGGAGTGCCTTTTATAGCATACCAGTATGTGTTGTGGGGAGTTTAATGAATGTAGTGTGAAGTTGTGTGTGTAGAAACTCTTTTTGTTGTCATGGAAGAGTAAAAGAATAGCATTAACAATGCTGTCTGTGGTATGATATGGTAAATTGCATCCATCCTAGCTGTGCATTTTTCCGTAGCTTTGACTGCTGTGATCTCAGTGCTTATGTAATCTGTTTTCATTTACAGTGCCGTCATCTGTGTGAAAAATTAAGTAGCTTGTTAGAGCTTTCAAGGAAAATATGATGCAGCATGATCATAGAATCATAGAATAGTTTGGGTTGGAAGGGACCTCTAAAGGTCATCTAGTCCAACCCCCCTGCCGTGGACAGGGAC